ATCATACATTGAGGTGCACAACTTCTCTGCACACCAAATAAGGAATATCACATGGTGTTGCTGGTTATATGGATTTTTCAGTTCATAAGAAAACCCTTTCTTACTGGTATCCTTGGTGTCCTGTTGTGTGTTGTGCTTATTTACATGTAATACATCTGTTGTTCAAGTTTAAGAGCAGATGGACTCTTCTGCAGACAACTTCACCCTAGAGAACCAGCGTACAAAGGGATGTGGTAGAGAATTCTAGCATTATGCAAAATTAAACCAAGAATTGCACAAAAACTGCAAAGCTGTCTTTCATGTATTACTGGGAGCCACCCACTTTACTGAAATAAGGATGACAAAACTCACGGATTTAATCATGCTACCAAAATTACAAATGATTTAGAATACTATTAAACTTGCAAAAATATCAGTAACAGTTCAGAAAAAAACTAAAAATTGTCATATTTTATAACAAACTCAGTAACAACTTTGCTTTTTGTTATAAAATCATCCCATTCATAGACAAATTTGGTTCTAAGATTCCAGTTTCAAAATATGAATGTTTCACATGGGGAACTCACCTGTTCAAAACAAACCTAATGTCTTTAAGCAGGCCTAAAACTTCAGGCATGCAAGTCACCATTCCAGGCAAAAGCAACAGTGAATAGTGTTATTTGAAACTTCCTCTAAGCATTTTTAGCCTGTCTCCAGTGCCTAAGGAATTCACCCAGAGGTGAGAACAACATGTTGTACATTATGTTTCAGCCCTGCATGCTGCAGGGCACTGGTTGCAATACGCAGGGACTGTATTATATTAGGTACATTTTCATGCAGTTCAAATTTTTCCAGTGGAGCACATCACCTTTCATGAAGCAGATGCGGGATTCAGGGAGCTTCTTCATTAGGCGACCCATGAAGAACTCGCTGCCAAAATCCTCTGCACGAATGAAGGCACCGTATTTTAAGAACCCAACTTCGTAAGGGGTGAACTCCACCCATTCTGCAGAGGCACAAAATGGACTTTTAAATCTCAGTCCTATCCCTACCTCCTTGCAGGAAGGGCTCTGAAATGACAAGGAAGCAGCTGCAGGACAAACTCTATCAGCAGGGTGATCACAGACAGGCCTTCCTCAGGGTAAGGAGTTATCATTCATCTGGTTTCAGCCACTCACTCAGTAATGTTTCCTGAACTTGTTCATTCAGAACTTTCCAATGAGCCTCTCCAGATAGGACATAAATGAAGTTTATACCAAAAGGGGTCAGCCTAAGTTATCCCACATGTGGAGCTAAGGCTTTGACTTAGGAGTACCTTGGCTGTCCTTAAGCACCTCCCCCAGATTTCTCCTGCCCCACAGAAGATGGGTTCCTCCCAGAGCATGGGCACAAAGTCTAGAAATGGAAGAGGAGGAGGAAGTTAAGGAGGAAGAGGAACTGTTTATGAATGCTATGGGTCAGCAGTGCAAGGGGTTGCAGGTCATGCAGTAACTGACAATGCAGATCATTTGGACACCAACTGAGTCCAGATACACCTCAGTTTTGCCATCACCTTTGAACTCTGAAAGGCTGTAGTCTTCTTTGATGTTGAGGACCATGTAGATAGGTAGGGGATTCTGTCCCTGATTCAATGCCTGTCGCTCATCTGAGAGTTTGTGGTTAGTTTTCTGTGAATTGACCAGAAAGAGCAAAACCAAGATACCTTCTTGGCATGGTGTATGGGATTGCAAGATTACAGCAAAATAAATACCTGTTTTAATCTTCATTTGCTTATTCTCTCCACACATTTAGGGTCCAGACATTTTTTAACCAAGGAGCGATCTAAACATTTACACATCCACATAAGCTTATTTAATTACCAGTGAGCTGTAGGACACTTTGTGGTACAAAGGTCTCTCATTCTTCCCAGTAAATGCATCCACTTTACATGGATTATTTAAGTTCTCACGGAGAGGAACCAAAAGAAAACAAGAGCAGGATTCTGCTGTTAGATGCTCAGATACTCATACTGGTAGAAGGAGACATAGGTTTCCTGCTCTACAGGATACCCCTTCAGCTGCTAATTATGTGTTGAGAGATATGTGGGGACAAATCCCCTTTGTTAGTCAGCAGAAATCATCTGCTAGATAATGCTGGCATGCTCTCAGGCTAGCACCTCTCCCTGGAGCTTCATTTTTCGTACAACAGTATTCAGCAGCTGTTAGGGAAAACATAGACACACTACCCCATCACTTAATGCTTTTTCCAGCAGAAGCCCCCAAAAATCAATGCTAGAGATCTGGTATCCCTCTTGCTTCCGCAGCTTTAGCTCCTTGTCATAGTACTTCAAGCTCTCCAGGGAAAAGCAGTTCAGCTTGCTCTTGGTCATGTGTCTGCGAACTTCACCAATCGGTCTGGACAGATCCTTGCGTGACCAGTCAGCACTCTGATACAAATATGACAAGGTCCTGGGGAAAAGAAAGGAAGTACGTTGTCATGTGCTCGATATGCTTTCACTTTTTAGACTTGGATTTAAGGACCGCATTAAATGAACTAGCTGAGGTTCATAAAAAAACATCTTTTGGGCTCACTTTATTATGGAAGAGAAAAGCCTTCAAATCCCTAGTAAAACCTGAGGACTTGCTAAAAGCCCCTCCGTGCTACGTAGGTTTCTGCACAAGGCTGTGATTTGTACCAGGGTGACTCGCTAGGAAAGACCCTAGAGGTGAAACAAAGAGTCAAGGAAAATGTTCCCCATAAGTAGTGCCTAGACCATATGCTGGCTCAGGCAATGTGTTCCTAATGCAGCACTAAAAATGCTCAAGACTGAAGTAGTACACCTTCCTTTACCAAAACGAAGAGAATAAATCTCCTCACACAGGGAACTATAGAGGTGAGGAATGATGTCTTTGTTCAGGATCTCCTTACCATGTTGAACCAGATGACCCGGTGATGTATGAAATAGCATCTAGGAGATCCAGCCTCTGAAGACCCAACAGGTTGCCTAACAGAGATGTCAGTGCCCGGGTGCCACCTCCTGTTGTCATGACTGCTACAACTGGTACCTGTTTAAACATCAACACAGCAATGGTAAGCAACAACTTAGTTTACCAGCACATGTGATTAAAGTGGAGTGAATTGCAGCATTTCTGTCCCGCAAGAAATTCTGACATTTCACCATTTCCCCAAGCAAGGGAGAAAAAGATGAAATTCTGGTAGTCTGCACAGAATGAAAAAAAAAACTGGTAATTTGCCAATTTTGACATTTTTGATCAAAAGAGCCCAGCTTTCTAAATTGTTATGCGCTGGCTTACCAAAACAGCTTAAAACTTGTTGTTTCAAGGCATTTCAATACTAGACTGCATTTTCCTTAGCGGAACATCATCTCATGAGAGCTCTATTTTGAGAACCAGCAGAGCTCATCCTCTTCTGTAAGTCAAGTATAATGACTAGATTACATTTCCTGTAAAGTACCTAGACTATATAATTGCAGTGATGAACCACAAAGCCTAATTGCATGGAAATCTAAATTGTGTTACAGGAAGACAAATTCCTCCAATAAAACCCACTGAGAGAAGAGGAGCCAAATGACATTTCCCATACACATTTCCAGGCAATTGCATCAAGGAAATACTCAGCAGTGCTTCTTTGACCTGATTCAAATCAAGCATTTCAGGTCAAAGCAAAGTATTCTGATTTGGGTTTACCTGGCTATGCGAAAACAACATCTTGCTGGAAAATCTGAAATCAGTAGTTAAAAGTACTTCCCCTAAAGAATTCTTATACTTAATAAACTGCTTTTTTCCACTGAAACTAGTGTGCTAATGAGAAACAATATACTGATGTGATCAGTTTGTGAGCAGGGACATCATTTATACCATCCAAAGCCATTCTGTCATACAATGTTTAATATGCCTTTGGCCTAGCTGTCCTGGAAAAAGTGAAAAGCACAGTTGAGAAAAAACTCTCAAAATGTAAACTTCTTCATTTCTGAAATACCTGATCACAACCATATTAGAATCATAGAATCATAGAATCATAGAATAGTTTGGGTTGGAAGGGACCTCTAAAGGTCATCTAGTCCAACCCCCCTGCCGTGGGCAGGGACATCTTCAACTAGATCAGGTTGCTCAGAGCCCCGTCCAACCTGACCTTGAATGTTTCCAGGGATGGGGCATCCACCACCTCTCTGCACAACCTGGTCCAGTGTTTCACCACCCTCAGCATAAAAAACTTCTTCTTTATATCTAGTCTAAATCTAACCCCCTTTTGTTTAAAGCCATTCCCCCCTGTCCTGTCGCAACAGGCCCTGCTAAAAAGTTTGCCCCCATCTTTTTTATAAGCCCCCTTTAAGTACTGACAGACTGCAATAAGGTCTTCCTGAAGCCTTCTCTTCTCTAGGCTGAACAACCCCAACTCTCTCAGCCTTTCTTCACAGGAG